CACAGTGAAATATTACTCAGCCGTAAAAAAGAATGCACTTGAGTCAGTTCTAATAAGGTGGATGAACCTAGAACCTATTACACAGAGTGAAGTGAGTCAGAAAGAGAAAGATGAATACTGTATTCTAGCACATATATATGGAATCTAGAAAAATGGTACTGAAAATTTTATTTACAGAGCGACAATGGAGAAACAGACATAGAGAATAGACTTATGAACATGGGGAGAGGGGAGGAGAGGGTGAGATGTATGGAAAGAGCAACATGGAAACTTGCATTACCATGTATGAAATAGACAGCCAATGAGAATTTGCTGTATGGCTCAGGAAACTCAAACAGGGGCTCTGTATCACCATAGAGGGGTGGGATGGGGAGGAAGATGGGAGGGAGTTTCAAAAGGGAGGGGATATATGGATACCTATGGTTGATTCATGTTGAGGTTTGACAGAAAACAGCAAAATTCTGTAAAGTGATTATCCTTCAAAAAATTAATTGAAAAAGCTAAAGAAAGAAAAGAAAAACCATAGCTTTGACTAGATGGACTTTGTCAGCAAAGTAATGTCTCTACTAATACTAGTGATGGTTTTAAACAGCAATCTCATTAATGATGAGCTGCAAAGAGATGATCTGGCCACCTTTAGATAGTCCATGTCATCAGAGCCTTAGCGGGGAAGGAAGAAAATTCTGAAGAGTGAATTGCTCTATAGTGTCACTTATAATAAAGGGAAATTTGTCTAAGAAATTTTATCTTAAAGTGTAGAACTCCTTTGATATTTTTACCATCAACTTAGCATGGTGCTATTATTTTACTACTGAGACACTTAAACTTTCATTTTTCTTATCCCTCACAGAGGAATCAATTGTTTAAAATTAAAGGAGAGAGCAGCAGTCTTTGAATGTTTATCTGGGTTTGGATGGAGATATCAAAGACTGCTGTCGGAGATTATCAGCCACATGTTCAACTTTTTATGCATTCATTGAATTATTTATAGAAAAAATGAAAATACGACAGGTTTTAATAAAATATAACTTTTTAAAAAAGATAATATCTCCTTTTACTTATCAACAGTATGCTATTAAAGGTATAGTTAGGATACCTGCCAAGTTTTTAATATTTTTCTTCTCTGGAAACTAATGTCTCTCCATATGACCCTTGGGGCTGAGTCCCCAGGAACCGTGCTTGTATTCACTGAACTTCACACCTGAGCCACCCATGTCACTGGTGGCTGCTGAGTGTAGATCCCAGATCTGATTTCCTGAAACTCTTGGTCTATAGTCATAGATACCTGGCATTCCTAAGTGAATATGATTCTCCTACCTAGGTATCTGAATTTGATCTGAGAGGCACCCAGCCAGCCAGTATCTGCAGGTGAGGAGAACTGGATGGGTAGATGTGGCAGTCCTAGGGTGGACATTTTTCACCACGAGCTGAGCCAAGTTGATCAGAGAAGCCAAATACCCAGTCTGTACGTTAGCATGGGATGAAGACACATGTGCAAAAAAAAAAAAAAAATAGAGAGGAAATGTAGGGAGACACTCTAGTTCCTCAGTCTAGCTGTTTCCTCAGGCCTGATGGCATTCCTATTACTGGACTTCATGACACCTGATAAAAGAAATGTTCACATGCTGGGGTGTGGGGAGGTCACTGTAGCTTATACACATTAACTTGACTTTTTTGCTAACTAGAACAGTCTGTTTGATAACATACATTGTACATCTGCTTTAATTATTAAAGAAAAGAGTGTATTGACCAGAAGTAAAAAAAATGTCCAAGCTTACAATAAGATTAAATGCTTCCCTTCCCAGGACACGAGTGCTAGTCCTGCTGGCTGATAAGACTCACTTTGCAAGTGCCAAGGCCGTGCTGACTACCTGTGTATGTGTTGATCTGGCTTTTCAGGAAACTTGAAGAAAAGAATCCCTAACTTGTTTGGTGTTCCTTGCTCTGAAAATACATAAAACTATGCTGAAAACCCTGCTTATCCTGAGCAGTCTTTGAAAGTAATCTTAGAAGCTGTCTTCTGGGTTATTGAATTCAGTTTGGCTCAAATAAGACTATTGTATTCCTATTATAGATAGTTTACTGAATTTTTTCATCAACACAGCCCCCCCACCCCCACCCCTCACCAGGTTTGTTTGTTCACTTATTTATTTATCATTAAAAGAAGATGACACAGCTTCTCTATTTGCAAACAACTAATTTGCCCAGTTAATTTACAAAAAGTAACTAAATATCTGTGACTTCAGTGGATCCATAATTTACCCGGGGAGAAACGGTACAGAGTATGATACATGATGACATTTTTAAAATAGTTACTTATTTACTGTCTATAATCTTCTGGATACTCATGAATACTCATGTTTTAAGTGCTTATGGATGTTTATTTCTAAACAGTGCAGTCTTGTGAGCCTGAAATGATTATCCCCATTTTTACAAAGAGGAAATCCAGGACCCAGAGTGTTCTAAATTACACAGCTGGTGATACAGTTAGAATTCAAACTGTGGGATGCTGCTTTCTGTTTTGAAAGTCAGGTGAGTTCCACCCAGCAACACGACAGACTTTCCTGAAAGCCAAACACTTCACTAGATCTCCAATGACTTTTTCATTCCCCCCACCTCCACCACCCTGTACTTGTCAATTCAACAAATCACACCTCAGTTTTATCTGGTTGGTCAGTTTAACCTACGTTTCCCAAAACTTCACAAAGTTATCTTTTACTCCTTTCTGTTTGCACACATTCTCCCTCTGTCCCATCATCAAATCCTTCTAGATCATTTCCATAGACTCAGAATAGACCCCTTCTCAGCCCTCTGAGCCTTCTTCTGTCCATGGGGATGTCGCCAGTCTCCTTGTTTCTATTCTTGCGCCCATCTCATTGCATATTCTGTCCACTGCAATGTGTACAGAAGAAATCTTTTAAAACATATATCTGCTCTTGTGGCTTTCCTGCCCCAAACTCTCCAATAGCAACATGCTGCCCTGCCCTTGTCCTTCTCTGTCTCCCTCACATACTCTCCAGCTCTGATGTTTTCCCAGCTGATCCCCAAACATTTTGAGGAGGTTCTTCCCAGTGCCTTTCTGCTTGCTGTTTCCTTAACCAGGGATGTGCTTATACAGACTCAGACCCTTGACCTAGACTCAGAGGTTTACTGAAACCTGAGTAAATGAAGGAACTGATACTTTAAATTTATGTTTAAAAAATCAGATTTATAAGGCTCGACATACTTTCTTTAATTACCATAAGAATCATCCACCTAAAATTTCCAATTCAGAATATAACCTTTTTCAGAATATGCTCATGTTTCCATAAAATCTTTATGCCTTTGCAGCTTACTGTTTTTGCCTTGTGCTCCTTGATTTATTCACTACAAATTGGAATGAATGTGAAAGGCCACAATGCTTTTGTAGCTACATGAAAGATTACAGTTTTTCCAATCTTGTTCTCTTTTACTGTGCCATATAAGTGCTGTAAATTTATTTATTGATAACAATGTTGACCACTTTTTCTCTGTTTTAATGTTTGAGATAAAGATCTGATTGTTTAGCTTTCTGTTTGGAAGACAAAAACATCATAGTGTCCATGCACATAAAGACGGTAGACACGGTTCCTCAGAGATAAGAATAAGAAAAAGAAAAGCAATCCCACTGTCCCTGTTGTGGATTATTCATTCATTCATTTAAAGAGGACTTATTTCTGAAACAGTACATATGTCTCACTGAAGAGATGGTAGAACCAGGACCAGGTTCTAACTTTCTAGATCAGCAGGCTTGTTCAGATGGTAGAATACACTATCTGTTGCAGATTTTTCAGTTTTTCGGGCTAAGATTTTAAATATTGATAGCTGATGTACAAAAGATACTTAGATGAACACATTTCCATTTTTCCCATAGAAATGGATCATTAAACTTAATATTTTTCTTCACTCTTAGAGACATTATTCCATGTTTCATATTTAGTAACTTTCCTAAAAACTAACATGCTCTAACCATTAAAGTTCTTAGAGATGCCTAGCAAACATTTTTACTTTATTTTAGGATTAAGTTTTGCTTGGTTATTAATCAGTTCATAAAATATTTATATGCTTTTAGTGAATAGAATGTGATGGGAACTGTTCCTGAAGAGTTTATATAAGTAAAATTCACAAAGGATATTGTATCTATGTTTGAATGAAGCAAACAGCTAGGTTAGTGGATGGGCATTTTGGAGAGGTTAAAGGCAAAATGTATCTGTTTCACAGGATGATAATCTGATCGTGTCAATTCAACCAAACTTTTACAGTGGACTTACTATGGTTACAAAAGTGAATAGGAAACTTACCCTTTTAACAAGTTTCACAATCTAGGAGGAGAAACGGAGACAGAAACTAGAACATGTGACCAGCAGAAAGCTAACAACTCAGGTGAAAGGTTCAAAGGGAGTGCAGAGTAATACAGAGGACTGGAAGGGGGAGAGGTACTTAGAGACGCTGCAATTCATACATTCACTCTGCACTGAGTTCTGAATTCACACCTGCCACTTCCTTACCTTTCACACACTAAGAGAGTAGGATATTTAAATGAAAACCCAACCATACGGTCTTAAATTACTAACAAAGTTTGTAATATAATCACATTATATTTGTGAAATATTTCTCAGTTATATTCATCTTTATCATGTCCCAGGAGAATCTTCTCCATACATGACTATTCACATTATGTTCATAATTATTTCTTTTTGAAATGAATCATGTCTCCTAAATATAAGAAAACCTCAAGATAGTTTGTTTCTTAAAATGTAAGCTATTTAGCTGTAATGACAACAGTGATGGGACCTGTACAATGAAAGCTTTTCTCAAAATGGTCTCATTTAAATGAACTACTGCTGTCTGTGGCAAATGACACTTGTTTCCTGCAACAAACATCATCTACTATACTGATGGTATATGAATGTCTTTGAAGATTAGCTTGATGCCCAAGCAGTTTAACTCCTCCTAACAACTGATTTCTCAAGAGTACTTACATACTCTTCGTACCCCTTGTGGGCTGGCAGAGGGGGTGCCCTGTATCCTGGCATGGTGGGTGACCCCCGGGCTCGCGGGGTAGGAACGCCTCTCGCTACAGGGGGTGCTGGAAGAGCACCACGGGTCACAGTGGTCCCTCGAGGGGTGAGAATGCCTCGTCCAGGTGGTGGGGGAGGAGGAATGGCTCCCCCACGTCCCCTAGGAGAAACAGGCCATGTACAGATGAGAAACAAGTGATGAGAGAAAGGAATTAAAGCTGGCAAATCTCTCATCTTACAGGCTGTATACAATGGGAAGAAAACCACATTTATTTCTGCACCTCTGAGAGTGTGAGTGTGTTGTGTTTAATGGAGATTCTCTAGGATATAAAGCATTTTGACCTCCACAGAATAAGTTTTGTAAATATTGGGTATGACTGAGTTATCATGAAAACCATGTAAAATACTTTGATATTTTTTATAACACTAAAAATTTAAAGCAAAACAACCAAAAATCAACCCACTCTCATTTCTATTTGAAGTTTACCAAAAAAGCGAAAATGAGAGCAATGTCTAATATATGACTCACTGGACCATCCAGTGCACCTAATTTTCAATGTCTCCTCCATGCTGGAGGTAACTGACAGTGGTAGGCAATTTTGTCACTTAAAAAAAAAAAAAAAGCTGCACTTTGACAATACTTGGAGCTATCATGATATCATTCTGCCTATTATAGTAGCTTAGATTTAAGGTCACTTGAATCACAACTCATTGTCACTGATTTATCATTATGCACATAACCCTTTGAATGGGCAAAGTTCCTGAGATAACTTATTTCCTGTGGTAAGTATGGTGCTAGTGAACACATGCAGACTCTGCTATAAAAATAATAACTGAATACCTTGCACTGTAGTGCTGGACAAATAAGTAATTTGTACTAAAAGCGTGAGATCAAATGGTTGCAGTTAATTCTTAAGTTTTATGAGGTCTTTGGAAAGGTTGAGTGTTTCTCTAAAATCTTTGGGCAAAAGCATAGTTATTTCACTTTTTATTTTGTCTGACATTTTGGCCACTAGAAAGCACTACTTTCAGCAAGATTGCTAAGCCTTTTAGGAAAATGATGATCACGGGATGTAGGATGGGAAAGACTAGAGGTCTCTTCAAGAAAATTAAAGATAGTAAGAGAACTTTTCAGGCAAAAATGGGCACAATAAAGGACAGAAATGGTATGGACCTAACAGAAGCAGAAGATACTAAGAAGAGGTGACAAGAAAGCACAGAAGAACTGTACAAAAAAGATTTTCATGATCCAGATAATCATGAAGTTGTGGTCACTCATCTAGAGCCAGACATCCTGGAATTCAAAGTCAAGTGGGCCTTAGGAAGCATCACTATGAACAAAGTTAGTGGAAGTGATGGCATTCTAACTGAGCTATTTCAAATCCTAAAAGATGAAGCTGTTAAAGTGCTGCACTCAATATGCCAGCAAATTTGGAAAACTCAGCTGTGGACACAGGACTGGAAAAGGTCAGTTTTTCATCCCAATCCCAAAGAAAGACAATGCCAAAGTATGCTCAAACTACCACACAATTGCACTCACCTCACATGCTAGCAAAGTGATGCTCAAAATTCTGCAAGCCAGGCTTCAACAGTATATGAACTTCTAGATGTTCAAGCTTGATGTAGAAAAGGTAGAGGAACCAGAGATCAAATTGCCAACATCTGTTGGATCATTGAAAAAGCAAGAGAGTTCCAGAAAAACATCTACTTCTGCTTTATTGACTATGCCAAAGCCTTTGACTATGAGTCACAACAAATTGTGGAAAATTCTTCAAGAGATGGGAATACCAGACCACCTGACCTGCCTCCTGAGAAATCTGTATGCAGGTCAGGAAGCAGCAGTTAGCACTGGACATGAAACAACTGACTGGTTCCAAATAGGTAAAGGAGTACATCAAGGCTGTATATTGTCACCCTGCTTTTTTAACTTATATGCAGAATACACCATGAGAAATGCTGAGCTGGATGAAGCACAAGCTGGAATCAAGATTGCCAGGAAAATATCAATAACCCCAGATATGCAGATGACACCACCCTTATGGTAGAAAGGAAAGAAGAACTACAGAGCCTCTTGATGAACGTGAAAGAGGAGAGTGAAAAAGTTGGCTTAAAGCTCAACATTCAGAAAACTAAGATCATGGCATCTGGTCCCATCACTTCGTGGCAAATAGATCAGGAAACAATGGAAATAGTGACACACTTTATATTTTTAGGCTCCAAAATAAAAAAATTAAGCATAAGTTAGTCTACATTTCCATAGTGACTGCAGACATGAAATTAAAAGACACTTACTCCTTGGAAGGAAAGTTATGACCAAGCTAGATAGCATATTAAAAAGCAGAGACATTACTTTGTGATAAAAGTTATGTCTAGCCAAAGCTATAGTTTTTCCAGGAGTCATGTATGGATGTGAGAGTTGGACTCTAAAGAAAGCTGAGTGATGAAGAATTGAAGCTTTTGGACTCTGGTGTTGGAGAAGATTCTTGAGAGTCCCTTGGACAGCAACGAGATCCAACCAGTCCATCCTAAAGGAAATCAGTCCTGAATATTCATTGAAAGGACTGATGCTGAAACTCCAGTTCTTTGGCCACCTGATTTTAAGAACTGACTCATTTGAAAAGACCCTGATGCTGGAAAGATTGAAGGTGGGAGAAGAAAGGGACAACAGAGGATGAGATGGTTGGATGTCATCACCAACTCAATGCACATGAGTTTGGTGATGGACAGAGAGGCCTGGCATGCTGCAGTCCATGGGGTCACAAAGAGTCAGACAGGACTGAGTGACTGAATTGAATTGAACTAAACTGAACAGGTGGGGGTGTAGGTTATGCTTTCTGCTATGAATAGTAGGCAGTTGGCTTTTGTGGTAAATGAGCTTTAAGAGTGAACAATAAAGAATACTGGTAGAGCTCTTAAAAGTTTTCAATAGATTATAGAGCTGATGAATAGAGAAACTATTAAGGAACTTACTGTGAATCTAATGTATAGAGAATGCTCTCCTACATTGGGAGATCCTGAAAGGCCCCCTTCAATCACAATATATCTAAGACCATAATATTCTAAACTACTGTGATGACACAAAAGCCCATCTATAAAATGGAAATATAGACAAATTTTTGCCTTCACTGGGCCTTCTGACACTTCATATGTAAGGTGTGCATATATCCAGGTTTGCCCAGTATAGTTCAGAATTATAACTGTTGTCCTAGTTTTATACTTTTAATACTTTTTGAAAGTGTCCCTTGGGTGGGTAGTAAATCATGTCACCATACTTTAGCCAGAGATTCTATTTATGCCATAGAAGAATCACAGGTAAGTTGTTGTAACTCCCTGAGCCTGAGTTGTTATAACTGTTTTCTTAATGTGTAAAATAAGATTTCTGAATCTGTAGCAATTCTTCCTGCTTTAGAATTACATATGCTCACGTCAAATCTAATTTCTCATCCCATTCCTTCATCAAGTGTCTCCCAGACAGAACCCTGCCTATCTCTTGAACCTGACTCATTATCTCTGACATCATATGTTCTTACCCTGGAATATTAACCCTATACCTCTCATCAACTCAGATCTCCAATTCAACTCAAGATTGATATCACCTATTTAGAACATAGTGTTCCTGGCTGAATCAACACTATAGTGTTCTTTTCTCTACTTTTCTGACTTCTTGAAAGTTTTCTATCCTTAATTCCACACTCCCTGCTCATTCCTGACTCAAATGAAATCTAGTTATTGTTTTCTCCACTTTGTTGAAAATACTCTTGACTGGTGTCACCAGAATCTTGCTAGTTTCCAGATCCACCGGGTTCATTTACACAGTCCCCATGTCATAGTACCTGCTACGCTTATCACTGTGGGTTATACATGCCTTCTTTGGATGTGTATAACTCTGCTTGTCTTCCCACTCCCCCTTTTTACTCTTCAGGTGTATTCACTGACATCTGCTCCTAGGCCCTCCTTGGGAGATGGTTGTCACCATTTCCTGTGCCTCACAGTGCACTTTGCAGTCTCCCACCCTGATGGTGGTTAGCACTTTCCTCCCTACCATACACCATAACCTGGACCATGTCTCCTTGGTCTGCAAGTTAGAGTCACCTAAAGATCGTTGAAAACGTCCAGACTCCAGACTGCACTCCATGCTGATTAAATCAGTCTCCAGCAGCAGTGATCTTCAGTGATTCCAATGTGCTAACCAGTTTGGCCATGGGGTCACACAAAGTTGGACATGACTGAGCAACTGAACTGAATGGAACCAGTTTGGGAACCAGTGCTTTACATGTGTCATCTAACTTAATAATCTTGACAAAGTTGTCACATAGCAATTTCTAAGCTATTATAAAAGGTTGAGAACCAAGTCATAGAAAGTGCAAGTCATGTTCCCAAGGACACACTGGCAATCCATAGCCTAGGATCAACTATAGGAATAATTATATTCTTCATTAAACTTGGTCTTTTACCTAATTTTAATGTATGCCATTAATTTGTAACCAGGGCAGACATTAGAGATTTAGCCTGTGTAGGACCACTCTCTGATCTCCAAAATCTAATCAGGCACTGAAAGTGAAGTGAAATTTAAAGTTGCTCAGTTGTGTCTGATTCATCACAACCCTATGTATTATACAGTCCATGGAATTCTCCAGGCCAGAATACTGAAGTGGGTAGCCTTTCCCTTCTTCAGGGGATCTTCCCAATCCATGGACTGAACCCAGGTCTCCCGCATTGCAGGCAGATTCTTTACCAGCTGAGCCAAATGGGAAGTCCAATCAGAAACTAATTCGTAAAAATGTTCATCTCTAATCTCATCATTTACCTCTAATATTCTGAGTGGTACTTATTTCTGGGTGGGATAATGGACTTGCCTTTTCACCGGGTTCTCTGTCATGAGTGTCTGTCTCTCTGTGTGTTTCTCTAAGTCTTCTCTGTCATCACAGTGGTAATTGAGTCGTCTTTCTTGGAAACAAATGTGAGTACTCTTCTCTTTAACAAGCTCCATTTGTTCTATCTATGTATTAGCTCTCATTGATGCTGCTGCTGCTAAGTCGCTTCAGTCATGTCCAACTCTGTGCGACCCCATAGAAGGCAGCCCACCATGCTCCCCCATCCCTGGGATTCTCCAGGCAAGAATACTGGAGTGGGTTGCCATTTCCTTCTCCAATGCATGAAAGTGAAAAGTGAAAGTGAAGTCACTCAGTCGTGTCCGACTCCTAGCGACCTCATGGACTGCAGCCTACCAGGCTCCTCCATCCATAGTTCTCATTGTAGAAAACAAACAAAAATAACTTCAAAGACTGCTTCAAATGTCTTATTTTTCTACTGTTCACACTCATCCAACATGTAGTGGTAATACATGTGAAGATCTTAAGTCTTCAATTATGTAATGTTTTTATTGTTAAGTAGCTAAGTCAGGTCCAACTCTTTGTGATCCCATGGACTATAGCACATCAGTGTCCTCTGACCTCCACTGTCTCCCAGAGTTTGCTCAAGTTTATGTCCACTGAGTTGGTGATGCTATCTAACCATCTCATCCTCTGTAGCCACCTTCTCCTTTTGATTCAATCTTTCCCAGTGTCAGGGTCTTTAACAATAAGCTAATTCTTCACATCAGATTTGTCATAGCTTTCTTTCCAAAAAGCAAGCATCTTTCGATTTCATGGCAGCAGTTATCACTCACAATGATTTTTGAGCCCATGAAAATAATATCTGACACTGATTCCACATTTTCTCCATCTACCTGCCATGAAATGATGGGGTTGGATGCCATGAGCTTAGTTTTTTTTTTTTTTTAATTAATATTAAGTTTCAAGCTAGCTTTTTCACTCTCCTCTTTCACCCTCAGCAAGAGGCTATTTAGTTCCTCATCACTGTCTGCCATTAGAGCAATATAATCTGCATATCTGAGGTTGTTGATATTTCTCAGGGCAATATTGATTCCAGCTTGTGATTTATCCAGATGGGTATTTTGCATGATGTAATCTACATGTAAGCAAAATAAACAGTGTGACAATATAGAGCCTTGACATACTCACTTCCCAACTTTGAACCAGTCAGTTGTTCTATGTTTGATTCTAACTGTTGCCTCTTGACACAAATACAGGTTACTTAGGAGATAGGTAAGGTACTCTGGTACTCCCATTCTCATTAAGAATTTTCCAGCTTGTTATGATTCACACAGTCAAAGGCTTTGGCATAGTCCATGAAGCAGAAGCAGATTTTTTTCTGGAATTTCCTTTCTTTCTGCACGATCCAATGAATGAAGGCAATTTGATCTCTGGTTGTTCTGCCGCTTTAAAACCGAGATTGTACATCTAGAAGTTCTTGGTTTATGTACTGTTGAAACCTAGCTTGAAGGATTTTGAGCATGAACTTGCTAGCCTGTGAAATGAGCCCAATTGTGAGGTAGTTTGAACTTTCTTTGGCATTGCCCTTCTTTGGGATTAGAACGAAAACTGACCTTTTCCAGTCCTGTGGTCACTGTTTGAATTTTCCAAATATGATGACATATTAAGTGCAGTGACATATGACATATGACATATTGATGCATATTTAATGACATCATCTTTTAGGAGTTTAAATAGCTCAACTGGAATTCCATCATCTCCACTAACTTTGTTCATAGTAATGGTTCCTAACGCCACTTTTCTTCACACTCCAGGATGGCTGGCATAGGTGAGTGACCAAACTTCGTGGTTATCTGGACACTAAGACCTTTCTTATATAGTTCTGTGTATACTTGCTACCTCTTATTAATCTTTTCTGCTTCTGTTAGGTCCTTACCATTTCTGTCCTTTATCATGACCATCCTGACATTAAATGTTCTCTTGATATTTCCAGTTTTCTTGAAGGGATCTCTAGTCTTTCCCATGCAATTGTTTTCCTCTGTTACTTTGCACTATTCATTTAAGAAGGCCTTCTTATCTTTCCTTACTATTTTCTAGAACTCAGCATTCAGTTGGATATATCTTTCCCTTTCTCCCTTGCCTTTTGTTTCTCATCTTTCCTCAGCTATTTGTAAAGCTTCCTCAGACAACCACTTTGCCTTCTTGCATTTCCTTTTCCTTCTCCAGTGGACCACATTTTGTCAGAACTCTTCACTCTTACCCATCCTTCTTGGGTGATCCTACAGGGCATGACTTAGAGCTTCATTGAGTTATACAAGCCCTTTTGCCAAAACAAGGATGTGATCCACGAAGGGGAATAATGTAATATAAATTATTATAATATATAGATGTAATGCATTGTTTTCTGGTATGCATTGTTATTGGAGGATTGGATAATTTTCATAGATATGCTTGTTGAAATATAAATTCTGTTAATTAAACACATTTTCAACAAATTAAAGTTTTAAAAATACACCAGGTACAAATCTTTTTAAATTTAAGTGAAATCAAATAAGTTAAAAAAAAATCCCAACTTCATGAATGTAGAAATGAGTGAGCATCCATTAACCCACGTACTTTAAGAACTTTCTGATTAATATGATCTTCTATTTTGTGACAATATTTTCTTATTTTCACAATTGCAGATGCATTTCATCATGTGGTTTGAAACAGAAGACATCAGAGTTCTGCTGCATTTACTTTTATTAATGTTAATATATTAATGACATTAAGATGGCATTGAAATTGAGGTTTAATTTTCAATATTAATTCTCTTTTTTACATATGCAGTATCAGATTGAGCAAAGCTTTCAATCAAATTTTTCCAAGGTATTTAAAAATCAAGAATACAATGCTCTATCCTTTACTAAACAATTGGAGAAATTAATATTTTAGAGTAAAAATTCACTAAAGTTGAAATTTTATATGGCTTACTCAATATGACAGCTATATTATTTATTACCTTAAGGAACATCAATAACAAAACAAAATCCTTTAATAGAATGATTTTATAATCTCAAAAACAGGTTAATGCATTATTTTTTTAAATGGTCCCAATTCCAAGGAATATAGAATATAAAAAGGCTAGTTCCCTGTATACTCACTCAATACATACTTGGTGGTGGTGGTTTAGTTACTAAGTCATATCCATCTCTTTTGACCCCATGGCCTATAGTCCACCAGGCACCTCTTTCCATGGGATTTCCCAGGCAATACTGGAGTGGATTGCCATTTCCTTCTCCTTTAATACATAATGTGCACCATTAAAAACTGCCAAAATTATCAATTTTTTGAACTACAAAAGTGACAATTTCATTATTTAAACCCTATGATATGATCAATTTAATATTAGTTGCAATGATGTCATCCTACAACCCATGAAAATGGGGTTAATATAAGGGTCTTATAAAAGGTTGATTCCATAAAAGTATATCCATAAAAAATAAACTAATGTTCTGGGTAGCATTAGAAAGCTCAATTATAAATGCAAAAATAACCACTGAAACGTTTTCAGAAGGTTTTTCGTTTGTCAAAGTAATTGCATAACTGCCATGCTTTACATTTACATCTTATTATTCCCTTGATACTTTATTTGGGAAATTTGTCATTCTTAACTTTTTTTCCTGATAAGTATAAATTTTTTGATGTGTGTCATTAAAGGTTAAAACCAGTGATGGAAGGTGGTTAAAATATTTGGGACATAATTAAAGGAAAAAAAAAATTAAAGGAAAAAAAAAAAAGGACAACCCAGAGGGATAGGGAGAGGAAAGAGGTGGGAAGGATTTCAGGATGGAAGGACACATGTACAGCTGTGACTGATTCATGTTGATGTATAGCAAAAATTGTCACAATATTGTTAAGCAATTATCCTCCAAATAAAATAAATAATAATTAAAAAAGAAAAATAAATTAATGATGATGTTAATAAAAGCAGATAAAAGGCAAATTGAATTATTAAAGTATCTTGGAATCTCTTAAGATGGTTTCTAGGCAATAAACGAAATACTACTCTAATTCTAAGACATTTAGAGATTCGAAAGCCAACTTCAACAGGACAAAGAGAAGGACAGAATTATACAGCCTATGTGTGAAATGTGTGAGTATTTTTCACTTTACCTCTTTACAGAACAATGCTTTCTGCTGAAAGATTGACAAACACAGAATCCTACAAAACAAATTCTGATACAGAAAGATTCCATTTTGTTTGCAAAGTGAATAATATCAAATAAAATATTCTCTGATGACATTGCACAGCCAAATATAACTAAAGTATTCTTACTCTCACCCATGTAGGTAATATACATTTGGCTTTCTGGACTCTATTTATTTGAATATCTATTTACTTACCTCCATCTATCATTATCCTCATTTATCTCTATACCTCTCTGGTAAGACTATATCAATTCAAGGGTCACTTAAGGCACCGGAAATACTTGAAATTTTCTCTTTATGCAAGGTCATCCTGACTCAAAGATGTGTATAACTATATCATCTGCTTGCCTTAATCCTGGGGACAAGACCAGAGTAAACAGTCTCAGGTTTGCTCCTCTTTTCTTTTTGGAACAGTTGTTAAGAGCTCAGACTTTGAATTTTGGAGTCAGACTGCCTGTGTGTTCTCAGGCATATTGGTTACATCTTTATCAGTTGCTCACCTGTAGATAATGCTTAACCGTACACTGGTGATACTTTATGTAAAGCTCTTATGAGCTACATAAGCATCTGTTGTTATTGCTTTTTTTGTCAGTGGTGGCTATTCTTGCTGATGCTGTTTATTCCTGGCTGTGATCATGACACAGAACAGGCTGGCAAGGGATTGCCATCTTCAGTGACTACTAATTTACTTAATTTATTATTATTAAATAAATAAATTTACTTATTTAAAGCAAGAAGTAATGTACCTTGATGGAGCTGTGGGAGCTATTCTTATCCCTCTGCCTCTAACACCTCTGCCACGACCAGAGTCCTCTGAGCCATTTAAGTAAGATAATTCACGTAGTTGTTCCTGACGGATTTCATCATTATAGTCCTAGAAGAAAAAACATGACCTGTTGAGTTGAAGTGGGGCCTGAAGTTCTTAGAACTGAACAAACATAGTAAGAAAAAGTTGTTTTCATTTATTTGCTGGAGACTTATACAAAAATCCAAAATGATGTAAAAATAAACATACTTTAAGTTCTTAGTTTTATAGAGAGAAATTGAAGTTGCTTCTTTTATCAAGGCAGAACACATCAGGAAATCAAACGAGATTTGCTGGGATATCACTTTATATGTTAGCCAGAAAAGAAAAGATAACAATAGAGAACAAGATCTTAGAAGGTACCACAGTTATGGTTGCTCCTAAGAGAATTACTGGGAAACAACTTTACTGGAATAAGTATGTGCAGATTGTGGATGACTGCATAACACTCAATTATCCCTGACACATAAACCGAAGAGGGTCAACTCCAAGGACCAAGGTAGACACTGTGCTAAAATAATTTAAAAATTCAAGTGAATGGGCAGTTTCAGACAACTGGGAACCTGTGCAACTGAACTAAACAACTTGATGAGCAATGTTTAAAAGTAAATACTTTCCTATGTGTTCCAGCTATGGGCTGATGGAGAATAACAGCCAGAGCAGAAGGCAGACTTCACAGCAGTCAGATATCGGGTCAAAGTCAAAGAGACTGGCTTGATCCTGCACCAGTGCGGAAACACATCTGTCATTTAAATAGGACCAAAGAGTGACCTGAGTCACTGAAGATGAATGCTACCTGCAAAAAACTAGTGTCAGCCTTACGTGTTCCTCTTTTTACTACTACACTTATGTGAATGCGCACACACACAAACACACACACACACACTCCTGGTGGAGCAATGCAAAACTGGATAATTGGTATTTTTGCCAAACGGGCAATTCAAGTAAATTCTATTTTATTAAAGATGGGTTTAAGTGAAAGTCATGAGCTATCTAGGAATTGAGATGAGAAATATTTGTGGCAATGTTTGGGTTAACATAAATGATGTCTGAGGTCTTGTTGAGGACAGTGGAGCCAGGTTAGCTTTATGCATGTGAGTTATAGTAACAGCACATGGAAACCATGCACTCCCTTGCATAGCCCACCCTAGAAGATGGGGGGATGCATGCAATCTACAAGCATTTCTAACACAAACTTTACCTCATGCTCCAAAAACCACTTTGTTCACAAGTAAAAGTACTAGTCACTCCAAAGCATTTACTTTTATTTTTAACATGTTGCTTTCATGTTCACCCTGTTCAGCACCTGACTATAGTGATAATGGATTCAGGAGAGTAGACTGACAGAAGAGCTATTGACAATTAACAAGTCATATATTACTCAATTTATACCTCTTATTTTTCACATTCACACAACAATCAAACTGAAGAATTAACATGCCTAATATTTTATTAGGATTGGGGAATGTGAAGAATTGCTACTTCTGATTGAAATGGCAAGTCACTATCAAATGAAAAATTAACTCCATAATGCTCCTCCCATGTAATATTTCTAATTTGACAGCAGATCTTTGCAGCTTCTTACCTAATGAAAATCCATGGACCCCAAAGTTTTTTTTTTTTTAATTGAAGAATAATTACAATATTGTGATGGTTTTTGCCATACATCAATGTGAATCGGCCACAGGTATACATACATGGGTCTCTTCCATCTTGAACCCCCCCTTCCACTTCTCTCCCCACCCTATCCCTCCAGGTTGTCATGAATTATAAAAAAGAGACAGATTCTAATTCTTGCAACATTGAAGGCTGAGAAAAAGTTAACAAATTGCAGATAAATTTATGCATATAATTTTACTTTAGAGCATATCTTATGACAGAACTAGACAATGTACTATTATGAATACTGATGTCAAAATTTGACACTAAGATTAAGTTAGCTCTTAGTGTAAGCAAAACACTGTTGCTAATATGTAATCAAATTTCTTATGAGTTAGTTATATATAATATATTTTAAAAACTGGATCATTTTCTAGGGTTGTGGTGGCCAACTGAACTCAGAGCTGTAACTGCAGATGTATACAATAGAATTCCTCTTGCTTTGTTCTGAACTCATGTTGCTCCCAAGGCCATCTACCCAAGAGCAACTCCCAGTGAATGATCAAATGTGATTGAAATGCTAAAATAAGTGATACCGGGGGGTCACAGTTCTCCTCTGCTTGTGCCACAAGGATTTCTAGACAGCCAGATGAATTTCCCTGCAATGCCACTTTCCCGGACTGTCTAGGACCTCTCTTCACTTTGGGTCAGATATTCTATTGTGAGGGCTCTCCAGCCTTCCTTGGCTCCCTCCTTACTTACTCACTTATCTTTTTAGCCACAAGAACATTTTCCCTAATGAAGTCCTTACATGTTTAATCCAAGTTAATCCTGATTCTGGGAGAACCAGAATTAACATAGAGAATGCTGAGAAAATCAAGTTCCTAACATTACAGGCTGAGAGCTTTGGTAAATCCACTGATGTTAATGCTGGTGGAGCCTATTCTGTTCAACATACCTTATACTCTGATTAATTAGAATATTTGCCACTCTCTTATTTTAAAATGATTACAGATTGCTGATTAGCAAAATGTGTTAGTTGCTCAGTCATATCCGACTCTTGGTGATGCCATGGGTTATTGTCCACCAGGCTGCTCCGTCTATCAGATTTTCCAGGCAAGAAAACTGAAGTAGGTTGCCATTCCCTTCTCCAGGGTATCTTCTCAACCCAGAGATCAAACCCGGGTCTGCTTCATTGCAGGCCGAAAATTCTTTGTCATCTGAGCCATGAGGGAAGCCCCACTGACTAGCAAAAGGGACAGTAATTGATGTTTTAAGAAAATAAATTGAATACTGTCCAATTTTCTAAATCACTTCACTTAATAAGAAAGTATGGGAGAGTCATAGAGTGAGCAAAACAAGACATGTTTTAGGCTTTAGAATAGGTAGATGAATTGTGGAAACAATGAAATTCTACTTAGTATGTACCTGTGTGATAGAGTGAAAGAGGATGGGCAACCACAAGCTGTTCAATAATGCTTTAGTGGAAGGTGTACAGTATGACTTGGAAAGGTAGGAATAAAAGACATTTTAATGCAGAAATGACAAGAAGTAATATGACACCAATAATCAGAGAAAGAATGGAATGAAATAAGTTTGAACGTAGAGAATTTATATTTGATCTTGATAACCTTAGTTTAAAATGCTAAGGAAACATTAAGGTTTATCTTAGAAATTCAGAGATGGGTTGGGGGAGTAATTTTGAATGTCATTTGCACATATTTGTGATAAATGAAGCAGATATTGCATAAGAGAATTGCAAAGTAACATAGTGACAGTTTTCAATCATACTTTTAATGCAAATTTGTATCACTGAAGAAAAATCAGTTGATTTGTTAATTACAGTATTAGGACTATTAAATGACCAGGTTTTTAATAAACTCAAGTTTTTCTAGGTATACAACTAGGTATACAATACCATGGTGTATATACCACAGTATTTATAGTAATAAAACATCTAGCTCTTTCAGATAAATGAAAACTAATTTTAAATGCCCAAATGTAAAGATACTTAAACTTTAAGTATTCTCTAGACTTAGTATATCTTATGTATTGTTTTCATGACATAAATATAATTTTCTAAACTCCAAAGCTTTTAATTGTGTATTATGTGCTCATACCCAATTCTTCATTAAGCGCAGATCAAACTTTGATTAATCATTGTTACTAGGTCATGAAACCAACTGAAACTAGAGCATCCTAGTAAACATTTAATTGAGGCATATGTTCCTGATATTTTGTTACCTAGAAATCTTAAAAATACTAGTTTAAAAAAATGTTTCACGATTGCACTGCAAATGTGATATTATCAAAAATATACTAAAACCTGAATTGGAGACAAGATGTTTGAGTAGAAGGACTTGAACTCACCTCCTCTCAAAAAAAAAAAAAACAAACAAAAAAAACACACCCAAATCAAAACTAAATGTTGGCCAACCATCAACCAAAAACACTGGAACTAACAAAAAATGATATTCTACATCCAAAGACAGAGAAGAAGCCACAATGAGATGGTAGGAGGGATGCATGTGTGATATAATTAAATCCAATATCCACTGGGTAGGGGACCCACAAACTAGACAATAATTATACTGCAGAAGCTCTCTCACAGAAGTGATCCTTTTGAGACACACAGCAAACTCCCAAGACTGGAGAGTCTGGCATTAGGAGGAGGAGCTTCCAGAGCCTTTGGTTTGGAGGCCAGTGAGGCTTAATCTCAGGAGCTCCACAAGATTTTGGGAAATAAATTCTGCTGTTAGAGGCACAGACAAGCTCCTGTGCACACTGGGACCCAGGGGAAAAGCAGTAACTTCACAGGAACTTGGGCCAGACCATGGTTTTGAATGGTCTCTTGTGGAGGCAGGGGCAGCTGTGGCTCACTGTAGGAATGAGGACATTAATAATACAGGGATTATGGAGTACTAACTGGCATGAGCCCTCTGTAGGCTACCATTTGGCAATAAGATCTGGACCAATCCAACAGACTATAGTCCCCAGTGTGAGGATGCTTCAGGCCAAACAACCAACAGGGCAGAAACCCAGATTCACACAGCAGCAGATAGGCTGCCAAAAGTGCTACTGAGCTAACACCCACCTATAAACACACCCTTTGGCATGGCCCTTCCCACAAGAGATCCTGCTCACTAGTGGTCAGACACCAGCCCCTCCCACCAGGAAAACTGCACAAGCTTCTAGTCCTGTCTCACTCACCAAGAGCAGACACTAGAAGCAAGGGGAGCTACAATCCTGCAGCCTGTGGAATGGAGGCCATGAATACACATAAAATGCAATGGCAGAGAAATATGTCTCAGATGAGGGGACAAAATAAAACCCCAGAAGAACAGCTAAGTGAAATGGAGGTAGGAAATCTACCCCAAAGTAAATCAGAGTAATGATGGTAAAGGCGACGCAAGGTCTTGGAGAAAATGGAGGTACAGACCTAGAAGATACAAGAAATTTTTAACAAAGAG